AATTGCTTAAATTGGAAAATTTACTGCGATGATCATTCTTCACTTTCATCTATAACCGCAGTTCATATATGAATTATTTCATATAAACTTCACAAAATGGATCTGAATATATAAAGACAAAGACTTAAGTGCATGACTGAGGAGATTCGTGGGTTTCTCTGGTTTTCATCAGCTCCCTTACAACAGTCATATAACTTCAACAAAGAGGATAGCAAAGCAGGTGCAGTTTTGGGATAAATGGTGACCGTTTACTGAAAGCACCCTCGCCACCCTAGCCACCCTGGAAACCCTTGTCTCCCTCACCACCCTCTCCACCTTTGCCACCCTCACTACCCTTGCCACTCTTGCCACCCTCGCCACTCTTGCCACCCTTGCCACCTTTGCCACCATGGAAACCCTGGCCAGCCTCACCACCTTCACCATCCTGGCAACCCTGGCCACCCATGCCACTTTTGCCACCCTTACCCTGACCACCTTTGCCACCCTTGTCACCCTTGCAACCCTCGCCAACTTTGCCACCCTCACCAGCCTGGCAACCCTGGCCACCTGCACCACCTTTGCCACCCTTGCCACCCTGGGAATCCTTGCCACCTTCGCCACCCTCGCCACCCTGGCCACCTTTGTCACCCTCACCACTCTCATCACCTTTGCCACCCTCGCCATCCTCATTACCCTAGTGATTTTTTTCTTGATAATTCACGTAAAACCCTCTGCCACATTCCATAAAACACTGTCAGCAAATAAAAGGTTGGTGCATTCAGTTATAACTCTACTTTCTGGAACCTTTTTCACTTCTAGGGCTTTTTTTAACTCACAGACGTTTGTGATCAAAGCAGTCTTTCTGAAGGTGTTTTCAAAGTGTTTATTTCCTCTCTTGCTCATTTTGCACTAACTGGTAATGAATATCACGGAAGCTGTACTGTATGAATATCACACAGACTGTATGGCCTTACTCTACCGTCCACTGATATTTTTCAACAGATCAGTCAGACATGCTCGTGTTATCATATCCTATGACATTGATCCTGGTCCTGATACTGAGTCTAAATTCGTTTCTTGTAGGTCAGTGGCAGATCTAGGGGGGTGGGCCCCCCTTATTTTGGGTAAACCATATAAAACAGCGGCTGATCAGTTCACCAACGTCCAAAATAGATCTGAAATGTATTTAAAAAATTACCAGAGAAAGTTGTTGAAGTGTGCACTTTCATTCATATTGTTGTAGAGATTTGTTGACCCATATGGGAGACCAGGAGATTCAGTCTGTATCCGGGAAACTGTCAACCGAGTATTGATTGAGTGTTGATCAAGATTTTGATTGAGTGTCAATCACAAGTTGATTGAGGGTATTGATCGACACTCGACCACAGATGCTTTTAGTACACATGATCCATAAATAAATGACTTTATTATCATGTCAATTACATCTAGCAGTGGAGAATCCCCACTGCTAATAGTTAATAGTCTCTGGAGAAAACCAAACACCAATTTGAATTGTTTAACAATCCAATCAGTATGTTTTGTTTTTGTTACCAATAGATATACAAAATAAGGAGATAACAACTTCTTTTAANCACAGATAATGTTTTCTATTTCTCCAGTAGAATGCAAACTGTCAGCTATCTATTTGGAGCAGTTTTCAATTGAGTGTTGTAAATTAACCAAAGCCAAACCAATTACTTACCAATTAGACTTCTCAGCCAATCTCAAACCGTAGTAAAACCAAAGCCAAAGTAATTGCCTGATAACTTTCAACACTCAATTGAAAAACAACACTCTAAAATAAATAACATGATAGTATTAACCCACAGTAAAATGTGTACCTTGACTTCTGCAGGAACAGCCATGAAACCACACAACTGTGGTAATCCCAGAGCTGCAAAAATCAACAAACAATTAATTAAAAATACATTATTAACAATTCTTGCAGGATCTGCTGTGCTAATGTTCAATGGATGAACCACTGAACTTTTACAACCCTTACAAAGTTATTTAATTTTTTTTTATATCTATTTAATTGATACATGTAACTTATATACATTCAATACACACTTACATAATTACTTTACAAAATTACATTATTTACACCACTCACATTGCAATACTTGATTTAAAGTACGCTATTTACATTCCTTGCAATACTAGTTGCTTAAAATTTCATACCTTATTTTTATTGCCTACTCTATAAGTTACTTTCACAAATAAATGCACCCTTAAAAGTAACAAGCTTGTTACAGGGGTGAAGAACAAGGCTACAGGTGAATCAAAATTTAATGCCAGCCCTGCATATTCAAACTGAAATTTTGTGAAAACGAACATTTTAGTTTTAAAATCATTAAAATAAAATATGATTACAGTACATGTATATCTATAAAAAATGACAAGTACAGATATCATACCAGCTCTCATAAAGGACAACAATGGATAAGCCACTTGGTCCTTGAACAGTCTGGACAGTCGGTGAAGATTGTAATAAACTGATGAAGCACCTAATGAGTGATTAGTATTTATTTAATATAAATTCTCTTTTATTCTCCGCTGATGGGACCAAGGACCAAATCAACTATGGTATTGACTCAAGAGCAAATAATACAATATTATAAATATATTGCTCTTTGTCGAGGAAAAGGTTGTTGTTATTCATCGTGGTAGATGCAATAATAAAGTGTATTATCGTTNCTACTACTCACATAGTTGTAAAGCAAACAGATTGACAGATATGAATAAACATCAGTTGAGTTATGGCGAGCCAAGTGTTATACAATCATATACATGTGCTTGTTAAGCAATTTCAAGAGAAATATTACATGCACGTATGTACCATGTACTTATCACTGGACATGAGACATATCACAACCAATAAAGACCTACCATTTGTTTTAAGATCCACATTTCCCCTCACAAAATCAGTTGGTTGTAACTTGCACTGATATATTTCACTTTTTGGCACTGAATCAGCCAGACCTGAAATATGTTAATGTCAAAAGATGAGGTGGCTTAGGATGCCACAAAATCCACGATTGTTACCATTAAGTGAAAAGTAAAGAACTACACAAAATGAACAGTTTTTGTCATACATGTATAATCATAGCAAGATATCAAGGTATTGGACTTAAATCTTCAGTACTGCAATCAAATTGCCTGTTGGAAGTGAATTAGAAAATACCATGCTACTACAGTGACTTATCTACATTGTATTAAAAGTGTTTTTGAACTTGACACTAATAAAATCTTCTAAATGATCAGCACCAGAAATTAGGAGTCAGCACAACTTTCCCTGGATGCATGCTTGCCGATTGTCACTTCCCACCCAAAGAAACACAATTTCGACAGTAATGTTTGCCTCTACCACTGTAAGACCATGAACACAACACACACTTCCATGTATTACAGTAAAAAAATTGTCAAAAACAGCACATAAAATCAACAAGTGCAGAAAGATATACCATGAACCATGATGTAAGGTCCTAAAGATGTACACGTCAAAGAGCATGTCAGACCAGGACAAGACAAGTGTGTGTACATAATTCTTGTGATACCACCCTTCTTCCAATCCTTACAAGGCACAACCCTGCTTGAATCATCGACTTCTGTTTTGTCCATTGAATCCTGTAGAATAAGTACAAAGATACATCTTTTTTCTTTTTGCTTACAACTGTCAGCAGACTAGATATATGGGTATATAATAACAGTGTGCATGACTGAGAGGCTTCAAAGTGCAGTTCATTGCTTTAAGATTTGGGTTTTACTTTATTCATTTATTTTATTTTTAATAACATTCTTCCACTTCCTGTTCCAATATACAACAATTTGAAACAAATTATTACTATAAGAGTAGGACGAAATGGAGAAGAGCATACAGTATAGTTAGACTAGTCATATGCATTGAATTAAATTACATGTACATTTATTTGGGGATCTAAACAACCTGAATAAGAGACTAAGGAAAGAGACCTCATAATGGACAATGTTCAATTAACAAGCAGTGAGCAGACTACTGGTAATACGGTATGGGTAAAGTGCTCTTTTAAATTATTAGTTTTCTAGCTGACTTTTATTTTTTCAAACAATTAACTACCTCTGATGCACAGATGTATCCAGTCTCCATCATCAAAACATGAATCACTACCCAGGCAGCTTCATGAATGGTGCCAACATCCATAGCTTTGTACAAGTCTTCCAATGTTTGTGGAATTCCCTCTCGACAAAGAAGAATGGATGATCCGAGTGAGGATACTGATCCTGTGCTGTACCGATGAGCCTGTTCTGTTTCACTCTTTCTGGCCTTTTCTTTTCCCTGATTATCATGCTGTTGTTCCAGAGTCAATGACACTGTGCTATGCTAGAAATGAATAAAAATGCAATATATCACATTACCTAGCTGAAGCAGGTAGATGAAGGGGTTAGAGACATTTATAAGCTATAACAGGGTACCTAAATATGAAGATTTAGAAAAAATATTTCATTTTCATTGACCAACAACACAACTTTCACAACTCGCAATATTAGACTTATCATAAATAGATTTCCATCCACTTCTTTTGCAGAAAACAACAAATTACCGGTACACATACATATAATTTTGATGATCATAATAAGGCGATTCCAATCAACAATGTTCATTTATCAAAGACTGCCCTCCAACACATACATGCACCTTACAATAAAATCCCCCGACTTTGAGTAAAAATTCATTAAAACATTGTTAAGAAATTTTTCCCAACTTTTTCCTGACCCACAGCAACCTCATACAGTTATAGAGATTTTCACGGTTTCTGAGGGCATCTTGCTTGGGTAGCACACACGGCAAAAATTACAGCAAATGTAGGGGGAAAGTGGAGAATCTGATGTCTAACAACTCGTGGAAAATTTGAGTTCTGAAATACTTATGAATTAAAAACCAAAGACACTAGGGAAGAGAATTCACTGATCGCATTTGAGAGAAATGGCCTCTTTAGAAAAGCCACAATAAAAATTTCAATTTTTCATACATTTGTCTTTTAAATGGGGTCACAATTTGCAGGAAAATTTAGAGACGTTTGTATGAAAAATTTAAAGTGTAATTCCTTGTCTCACAAGGCCCGCCAGTGCATATTTCAGTAAGGAGAATCTATCTCTTGAGACTGGAAATACTAAAAGGATTTTTAAAAAAACAAAAAAACAGATCATACAAGTTGTACCTGGGCTGGATCACTTACATGCTCAGCTGAGGTACATGGAACTTGTTGATCAGTATGCAAGGTATCCCTGGAAGAACCAGGAGTATTTTGGCTGGCTAGTGCATTTCCTTGCTCTCCGGAGTTCTGCAAAATGTAGATTAAGTCACCATGTACTATTCCCAGATCTGTGAGTAGCACCGAGTCATTGTCTAAAACATCTTGGCCATTCAGACTCAGATTAAAACTGCCTGTTCTACAAAACAGAACATAAAATAAATAAATATACTTTATACAGTCACGATAACTTAAGCTTACGTAAGCTTATTTGAGAAAGACTTCAGTTTACATAAACTCACCTCAAACCAAACTTTCTGCGCACAGCTTCTCGGCAATCACTCAATGTTATTGCATCTCCATGCAATTCAAGTAATTCCCTTCGTCTGTGCAGGACAGCTCTAAGTTTCATTTCAAACAAGGGCAGGTAATTTTGAGAAGAATTATCCGCAAAGCTGGTAGGCCTTGTCGGCAGCCATATTGCTTTGCACGCGCAAGGATTTATGGGTAGTTTGAAATGTTTGCACAGGGTCACGGGGAAAGGTACGGTCTATTTCAAACAGGGATGGCCAGTTAAAAATTTCTCAACCACAACTTGATGATCTCCCTGTATTTCCACAGTGTCACCTCTTACAACTCCGCCTGCACCAATTTTCTTTTTCAGCTCCTGTAGTAATATTCCGGAATCACCAGTAACGTTGCTGATCACAGTGACTTTCTTACCTTTGGCCCTGTTTTCGTACGAGATAGGAAGTTTCCCTTTCTTTGTGCGTTTGACGGAAAACCCGACGGTTCCACTAGATGCTCCTCCTTGATTTAAGCCAGATTCTGAGGCAGTTGATTCTGGTCTGTCTGTTAGATCCGCCGAAGAAGCTGCTGTGCTGTGAGAAACGTTTGAACTTTGAGCAGTTTGAGATGCGAGTGATCCAGTTAAAAAATTCGCTAGAGTTAATTCTGCAGGTCTTCCCTCTCTCTCAGATTCTTTAAGTCCTTTCTTGTTACGTTTTGGCATAGTATTTCGGAAAAGTCGTGAGTTTTTATTGACTACTTTGCCGGTTCCGTACAACCGGCAGAGCGTCACGCGAATCATCGGCGAGAGTCGGCGAGATCGAGAAGCCTTTCATGTGAGGTCAGCGGATATAAATGTCATGCGCACAAAATGTAAACAAACCACCCGTCCAGTCAAAACAAACCATGACAAATTTATGCGGCTTATGAAGCTTGAACTTCCAAAATACCTCGAATGGATCTTTTTCAGAGTTGTCGTCGAGGAGATCTCGATCGAGTGAGGTATGTAATAATTCTGTATAGATTTAATACTAAGAACAGTTTTAGAATAAGCTAACACATTGAAATATCATGGCGTAATTCTACCGACATTGTACATTTCAATCCCCCGTTTGGCTCAATTCCACCGCTTTTGGCGTGCTTTTTACATAGCAATTAAACTCCTATCAGTAAGAAGTCCTGAAAATTTGGCAAAGCGCAGAATATATTTGCAACCATAACATTCGATAATGTTGTTTTTGCTAAATACTGCGAGATAACATCTGATAGCGAACTGAAAAAGCGGCAATTTAATTCAGGTCTTTAATTTAAGCTAAGGTGTAAGCTTACGAATATTTTTGCATGTTAAGTCGCCCCCGATCGCGTTTATAATTTAACGGGTTGCTTTTAATAGCATTTTTGAATCCAAAACGTTCCCCTATAGTGATCTACGTTTTGAAGTCAAATTGTGTCGAAGCAAGATCAAGGACCTTGTTTACTTGTAGTACATTACAACAAATGTGCGCCACCTATATTTCGATAAGGACTCATTCTCAAAGTTGACGGTTTTGCACTTGCATAATTTAACAGTAGAACTTGTACTAAGCCCAGCTTCGAGCTGTTCGAATAGATCAAGTCGCTGAGACTAAAAATAAATAAACAAGTATTAGCAATAATACTTAGCAATAGGTTAGCAATATTTTAAGCTGCTTTTTTCTACAGCTGTAAACAAGTGCCTAAACAAGTGGTTACAAAGTGCAAATTAATCACTTCCATTTTGAAGGAAAGCCACAATAAAATATAAGTTAATTATTGAACAGTGATTTAAAAAGTACATTAGTGCAGTGGTTCATGGGGCTACAATACGGTGCTAATTACTGAAACTGGGCTTTATTTTCTCATTCTCCATAGATTTCATGCCCTGACAACTGACTTTATATTATAAACCTCTGTGGAAATAGGCACAAACGCCTTGACTGTACTCTGCTCATACACACTTCGGCCTATGTTCGGCCAAGCGTAAATTATATTAACCAGAACACAAGGCAAAGGAGATGTACAATGGCTGAAGGCAAAAACCTTATATCTTGTTTGAGAGAAAAAGCGACAATATTGCCTTTTGCATTTGTCACCCATTATATTTGGAATTCCCACTTTACGAAGTCTTAAGTAAACCTATTATGTATGTCAATCAATTTAACAATTTTAATTCGTTCATTATAACTTAGGGGCAAAGAAATTTTTCATGAAATATAGGACTTTGAAACAACGAAACGGAATGATGAAACACCACAACCAAATAACGAAACAACAGCAAAAAATGAAATATTATTTTGAGGCAGCAATTTTTCTTTCCCTTTATAAGCTGGAAATGGTTTTCATTTCTTAATGCAACACCCAATGAATCTATGAACAAAATGGATCTGAAAGTGAAGAATGATCATCGCAGTAAATTTTCCAATTTAAGCAATTGGAAAGAAGAAGCCTGAAAAAATCAGGGCTTCAACGGGATTCGAAC